CGTTCGGATTTAGATCACATTAAAAAAAAAAAAAAAAAAGTGTGGCAGTGTTCTAATCTGGTTTCCTACGTTTTTTTTCTGGGGGAAAAAACAAGCTTTGAACATTAATCCTGAAAAAAAGGAACTTGTTTAAAACAGGTCTGGATGTTTGAACTTATATGAGCGACCCATTTACAAATCCGAATCAGTTCTAAAAATCTCTTGCTATTTGTATTTTATGTTTTAACCAAAGATCTATATATCTACAATGACCGAATCCGAATGGTACAGATGTTTGCCTGGATAAAATGATGCATTCATATACTATGTTTCTTTTATTAAAAATGGACAAACCGTATGAATAAGACTAAATGACCATTTTAATGTACATTTAGTAAAACAACTTCACAATATTCATTAATTTTAACATGGGAAGAGAAAAACATGGCAAATAGAGAAAAGCCCCTCAGTGTCTCAATACATAAAAACCAAATTTTTTGGCTTAACTGATTAAGTCATTTTGTCTGGTGTAAGTAAAAAAGAAACAACTATGTATAGTCGTCAAGATTTAGTGCTTAACCATATAAACTCATTAAGTAAAAAAAAAATGCTCCAAAGAAAGCTTTAGGTTACGTTTGTTACACAAGAGGGCATTCACGTCTTTTGCATAAATAAAATATGGATCGTGCCAGGTCCCACCTTTTTAGTTGGGACTAAAAATTTACAGTTTTTGTCTTATTAACATCGGTGAGTCTCAGTCCAACACACAAAACATAGTACAACTTGTTATGTGCTGTGTAACAAATGGGCCTTCAAAAACATCAAGGTGATTCATAAACATTTGTTCATTTTAGTTGTTTTAGCCTTTAGGAAACACATGATGAGATTATGCAATGAATGTTTTGTGATGCCACCAAAATTCTTAAATCAATAACAAGCAGTAGAAAAATCGTGATCCAATGTGGTTGAAGCTGTTGTCACCGAGGGAGTCCAAAGTCTAGAGAAAAGCCAGAAAAAAAAAGATGGAATTAATTGCTACTCTTTAGTATAAGTTCAAGAAATCAAAGAGATCAACCACAAAACAAGCAATACGTTTAATAGATTTTTGGATCTCGTTACATTTTTTTTACCCATAATAGCAATGTGCTTTGCATTTCTTTTACCCATAAATTGACAATAACAATATGTGATGTGAAACTTGAAAATTGTACTTTATTGTTAACCTATTTACATTTCTTTACACATAACAGTTGCATACTTACCATTCCTTACCCATAATAGCATTGTACTTACATTTCTTTACCAATAATAGTAAATTGCATCATGATACTTGTAATTATTTTACAAATTTCAGGTTAATCCGTTAATTATTGCTTTTATTGGTAAAAATATAAGTATGTTGTTATTATGTGTAAAAAATATATATGTTGTTATGGGTAAAAAGTAAAATAGATGGTCGAGTAAAGTATGTTGCTATGGCTGCTAAATTTACTTATCTTAGACCCCTAGATCTAATATGGAATTTCCAAACCCACAAGAAGCAATAGTCATCAAGCAGGAAGCTCATAGATAATGCATTCAATTTCTAGCTGCTCTTATGATTTTTTGCCTGAATATTGGATAGTTCATTGTTCATAGCAAACAAGCGATTGTTGATCCGCAATAACACGAGTTTAAATTATAATGCAAAACGTAAAGAATTCAATTAAAGATGACATACCTTGAGAAAGCCAGCTCCAGCAGGTGGAATCAACAGCAATATTTGACCTAAGACGAGCAGATGCAATTGCACTGTGAAGAGGCAGCATCGACTCAACAGTTCCCAATGCCGCAACAATCCTGAAGAAGACGGAAAATCAAAACGATTATAGTCAAATTCAAATCGCTATCAATGGAAGTTCAACTGGTTGTATGTGTTATTGAAGTATTAACCTTGAAGCTGCGCGAGGGACGGTTCTTGTTGATGAATGGAATGGAGAAACGGGTACGGATTTGGGGGTTAGGGTTCTCGAAATCAGATTTGATCTAGCTGCAATTGTTCTCGCACCAGAGACGATCGCTGATGAAGCCATCTTTTCACTTAATCCACTGTTGTATAAACCCTAACTCTGGACCCTTGTAGGTATGGGTGAGCATTTGGACCAGATCGGACCGGACCAGACCGGACCGGCTTTTGGACCGGACCGGCTCTTGGACCGGACCGGTTATGGAGAATTTTGTGGACCATGGACCGGACCGGATGAGTCGTGTCCGGGTCCGGGTTTTCCGGTTTTTGGACCCGTTTAAACCGGTACAACTTTAATGACATAGAGTATAAGTAATCTACATTGATGTATAATATTATAACTTGCAAAATTAATACGATTCCGTTTCATGCATAACTAATCTAGATTGATGTATAATATTATAACTTGCAATTTGCAAAAATTAATTTTCCAAACAAAAGCAACTAAATATTGGAAAAAACCGAAGGTCAATCTGATTTAAAACGAATGAGTTATGGGTGTTTAAAAAATGTCACAGATTACAAAATCTTACTGAAAAGCTGAATTTTTTCAGCTTTGATAGCTCTATTTTGAAGGATTGTAACTCAGTGAATATAATACCAAAATAAACAAAATTATAGTCTAAATTCATCTACAAACTGTAAACTAAATGTTGGAAAAAACCGCAGGTCAATCCGACTTAAAACGAATTAGTTATGGGTGTTTAAAAAACGTCACAGATTACAAAATCTTGCTGAAAAGCTGAATTTTTTCAGCTTTGATAGCTCTAATTTGAAGGATTATAACTCAGTGAATACAATACCAAAATAAACAAAATTATAGTCTAAATTCATCTACAAACTGTAAACTAAATGTTGGAAAAAAACGCAGGTCAATCCAACTTAAAACGAATCAGTTATGGGTGTTTAAAAAACGTTACAGATTACAAAATCTTGCTGAAAAGCTGAATTTTTTCAGCTTTGATAGCTCTACTTTGAAGGATTGTAACTCAGTGAATATATAATACCAAAATAAACAAAATTATAGTCTAAATTCATCTACAAATTGTAAACTAAATGTTGGAAAAAACCGCATGTCAATCCGACTTAAAACGAATGAGTTATGGGTGTTTAAAAAACGTCACAGAAATCTTAAACATGTCCAACCTGTTCTAAACCCGGTAAAAACCGGACCGAACCGGGAAAAAAACCAGACCGGACCGGATAGAAATCTTAGAACCGAGAACCGGCCTGGGGGTCCAAAAAAACGGTCCGGTCCGGTCCACCGGTCCAAATGCTCACCCCTACTTGTAACCCCTACTTGTAGGAGTGGTGGAGGCATACCGCTTGTATTGGAAGCAATTTTTGTTGTACTTTCTTGTTTGGGATATGATCGGATTACATTAATTAGAGGATGCGGTATGTGTACAAGAAACGACATTATGGTTGACGTGTAGGGGCTCAACGGCGTCTTAACAAAATGAGCACCGCCCCTCTTTTTCGTTGTATCTCGTTGTGTTGCTTCTTGTTGTCATCGTGACTGGATGAAACGAGAAAAAAGACGCCTCCGTTTGGTTTGAAACATTAGACCGTTTGATAACGGTCAAAATAAAATAATTTTTTTTTCTATAAATACAACATATTAACCCATTTTTTACACCTTTCTCTTCATCTCTTTATATTTTATACAATCTTATACTTTCTACAACAAAAAAAAAGGATCAAAACCCAAACACCCCTCAATCAAATTAAGAAGACGTATTTTGGTTAATTAGGATTAGCAATAAAATGTTATGGTTTTAGGTTTAATTTAAATGTTATTTTGGTCAACTACGACTAAAAAAAATGTTATCTTTTAAAATTAATGTTTTTTATCGTAATCTTAATTTTAGTTTTTAAAAATTATGTCTTTTTTTTAGTTTTTTATAATATTATGTTTTATAAAAATATATTTGTTTTATTAATTAAAAAAGCATGAAAAAGAAAAAAATCAAAAAGAAATATATGACATGGAAAATATTGGTGTTAAATTTAAAGAATTTAACACAAATCTTGTAGATTTTTTTTTTTAATATTCAAAGAATTTTTTTTATTCCAAATGTTACACTTCAAAATGTTTAGTTTCATCGTTTTTCAATAGAATATCTATTTTTATAAACTAATATCGTATATAGTTTAAATTACTATGTTTGTTTAACTTTTTGTTAAATTTAAGTAAAAAAAACGATTTTTTTCATCGAAATTCCGGAATTGTTCATATTGTAGAGTTTTTTTTTTTAATATTCAAAGAATTTTTTTTATTCCAAATGTTACACTTCAAAATGTTTAGTGTCATCGTTTTTCAATAGAATATCTATTTTTATAAACTAATATCGTATATAGTTTAAATTATTATGTTTGTTTAACTTTTTGTTAAATTTAAGTAAAAAAAACGATTTTTTTCATCGAAATTTCGGAATTGTTCTTGAAATTCTGGAGTTTTTTTTTCTTTTTTTTTTTTTCCTGAAATCCAAAATTTTAGTTTAGAATCTGAAATGTTGGTCCAGAATCCGGAATGTTGGTTTGGAGTCAGTCAAAAAAATGCATTTTTTTTTTCTTTTGTCTGCAATGTTTATTCCAAACCAAATTGTTATTTTTGCTAAAAAAAAATTGTTAGTTTCTTAAAAACACATTAAACAATGGTTAGATTACTTATTTTCCTTTGTTTAAAAGCTTATATCAGGATGTAACAATTAATCCTTGATAGAAGACAAGATGTCTAACTATTTCAATCCAATATCACACAATCTTCTAGATTACTAGATATTCACAAGTTTTTTAATCATTAAACATCTCATTCAAAATAGCAAGATTTTTTTTAAGCAATGTTTAACCTACACTCAAATTACTCTTAATTCCAAATATCTACTAACCGTAAACCAAATATTAAAGTATTAATAGTTAATTCATCATTCATGTGTCCAAAAAACTGTGAGAATTATAATACTGTTTTTGTTTAGACCGTTTTTCCGGTAGTCATATTAAAACCGGTATTTAGCGTTGTTATTGGGGAGAGAAAAAGACCGGCCTTTTGGCAAGCAAGAAACGCGAAGCTCGTCTTCCTGAATAAGCTCAGAGAAATGGCAGCCATTTTAGCTCGCAAGTCTATGTCCGCTATTCGCTATCGCCATCTCGTAAGCTCACCTGCTCTCTTCCCCTCGAGTGTAATTAAGCAATCTGTCAGAACATCACTTGAGATCAAGTAATCTGAATATGTTAGGGTTTCATGGTCATTGTACATAATGGAGAATGTATCATTAAATCGATGCCATTCAGAATGATCCGAAAATGTTGGATCATGGATGGTTTTAGTGTGATATGAAATTGATTAGAAGGTCAAATACTTATATCCAAAGGAATGCATATGGTTTTTCTATAAATCGAATCCATATGCTACATATATTTCCTTCTGTGACCTAATTGGATGTTGTAGACATGTGCGTATTGGTAGTATGGGCTTATGGCTGAGGTATTTGTGAAAAAAAGAAGAAGGAATTTTTGACTTTAGAAGTCAATTCTGCAAATTTTTAACTTTAAGATTCATATAGATTCTAAAACCTGACAAGAACAATTCGATAACTTTCTAAACAATCTCATGATGATTCCATTTATGCCAGGCTGCAGTGGGACAAACCTTGCAGGTTCCTAATATCCATGGGACAATTTTTGGTGCACGTTCCTTTGCAACCAAACATTCATTTTCCACTAAGAAAGGCAAGCTTTCAAGTTTCTCTCTTATATGGTCATGTTCACATTGTATAAATCATGTGTTCAAGCATTATGTCATGTTCATGAGCACAAAACATAACTCCTCAAATATTTTTAAATATCAGTTATCCACACAACACTTAAATGTGAAAAAAAGAAACAGGGCCTTATTGATCATTTCTTTTTCGTGTATATAGTTCATTCCATGTTTAAATATCTTTATAAGCCTCCATTGATGTAAGAAAAACTCATCTCAAAAAGAACTAAAAGTCCTCCTTACAATCACTGATCATGACATTGATTATGCATCAACTATAGATCCCTCATGTATATGATTGACTTCTAATATCTAATCCTTTTCATCCTTTAAATATATTTCAATTTTTTTTTCACATATCCAAATTAGACTTCACTTGACTTTCTTCATGCCCGATCACAGATGATGAAGAAAGAGAGAAGCTTGCAAGAGAGATCTCAAAAGACTGGAGTTCTGGTGAAACTTTTGTCATTTTATGATCTTTTAATCCATATTATATTACAATCAAATAATTAATACACAAATCTTCTTATTTATCACATACAGTTTTTGAGCGAAGCATTAATATATTATTTCTAACTGAACTGGTTCGAGGGCTGTCTCTGACACTCAAATACTTCTTCGAACCAAAAGTGACTGTAAGTATTTCATATCATTTATCCAAAAAAAGATATACAAATTCCTTAAATATAATACAATTTCAAATTTCATACAGATCAATTATCCATTTGAAAAGGGTCCTTTAAGTCCTCGTTTTCGAGG